CATAGACACAACCTCTGAACTGAGTGAAGTGGTTGCTACTGGACTCTCTGTAGATCTTCTCCTAACACCCGCATCTCCACCAATTTTCGGACGCAAAGCAGTTCTCTTAGCCGCTGGAGCCACATTGTCGCCTCTGCCCTTATGCACCATCCTCTTCATACCAGAAGCCCTAAGCATTTTAAGCTGAAAAAGCCGTGACAAGCTATGATAAACTATATAAATATATATATGATTTCAAACGATGCAAAAAAAAACCCAAACATTTACTGATTCTGCTGTGGCCGATCGAGTCTCGAAGCACGAAAAAAATAAAAATAAGATTTGCCATCCACCTTACACAAACAATATTTTGTATTCTGTATTCAATAATCCAGCTATCTTAACAATTAAATGCGTCGTCTGTATTTATCCAAAATAATATTAAATTTAAATAAAAAATCTTGTGCTCAATATAAACAATTCAAAATGTCAAAAATGCATATCGAAAATAAAAGTGAGAAATAATTAAATTTAGAAATAAATTATTTTTCTCAGAACGCCGACAAAGCCTGACCATGCCGTGTGATGAGAATCCGCCAAATTTCGCCCTGACGCTTCGACAGTTGTAACCATCGATTAAAAATTAAACTGCACAGGGTCAGTTTTTAGCTCACCGGGGCCCAAAGGGCTCCATGTGAGCTTATGCCATCACTTGGCGTCCGTCGTCGTCCGTCGTCTGTCGTCGTAAACTATTTCAAAAATCTTCTCCTCTGAAACTACTTGGCCAAATACCTTCAAACTTTAACTAAATGTTCCTTAGGGTATCTAGTTTATAAATTGTATCCGAAGTTTTGATCCATCGACAAACATGGCCACCATGGCTAAAAATAGAACATAGGGGTCAAATGCAGTTTTTGGCTTATATCTTAAAAACTAAAGCTTTTAGAGCAAATCTGACATGGGGTACAATTGTTCAATTGGTCAAGATCTATCAGCCCTGAAATTTTCAGACGAATCGAACAACCCATTGTTGGGTTGCTGCCACTAAATTGGTAGTTTTAAGGAAATTTTGCAGTGTTTTGTTATCTTGAATATTATTATAGATAGATATAAACTGTAAACAGCCATTATGTTCAGCAAAGTAAGATCTACAAAAAAGTTAATAAGACCATAATTGTCAATTGACCCCTTAAGGAGTTATTGCCCTTTAAAGACAATTTTACACAATGTGTTCATCAAGTTTGCTAACATTTAAAAATCTTCTCCTCTGAAACTACTGGGCCAATTACCTTCAAACTTTAACTAAATGTTCCTTAGGGTATCTTGTTTATAATATTTATCCGAAGTTTTGATCCATTTACAACAAACATGGCCGCACTGGCTAAAAATAGAACATAAGGGTCAAATGCAGTTGTTGGCTTATATCTCAATACTAAAGCTTTTAGAGCAAATCTGACATGGGTACAATTGTTCAATTGGTCAAGATCTATCGGCCCTGAAATTATCAGACGAATCGAACAACCCATTGTTGGGTTTCTGCCACCAAATTGGTAGTTTTAACAAAATTTTGCAGTTTTTTGTTATTATCTTGAATATTATTATAGATAGATATAAACTGTAAGCTGCAATAATGTTCAGCATAGTAAGATCTAAAAAAAAGTTAATCTGACCAAAGTTGTCAATTGACCCCTTAAGGAGTTATTGCCCTTTAATGACAATTTTACACAATTTGTTCATCAAGTTTGCTAACATTTAAAAATCTTCTCCTCTGAAATATAGGTGAGCGATTCAGGCTCTTGAGAGCCTCTTGTTATTTTAATTTTATCATAGTGTTCGAAATGTTTTAATTTTTTGATATTAATTTATAATTCTGAGATAATTAATTTCCCAAGAATCTTTCTGAGAGTTTGGATGAATCATTCCACGTTTTAATTTGTACCAGAAGCCCAAGTCGTCTATTAATTAAAAGCGATTTAAAAATGTTCACGATTAAAATCACATGTTGACTATACTATAGATGATTTAAACAAAAACTTAAAGCTTTATTTAGAGTAACCAGACGCTATCTAATTTTAACGGTCCGACATTATTGTTATTACTTAATCAACCTCGTTTAAGTCTAGATGTTAGCAGTGTATAACAAATCGGTGCGGATCCAGGATTTTGAAAGGGGGGATCTAGCAAGCCAACATTTGGAGTAGTACAATGAAAACGTCTATTCATTTACCGTATATGATGTTCTTTAAAAGGGCGTGCCCCTTGCCCCCTTGCCCCCTTCCCCATAAAAAATGCGCCTCGGCAAATTTAAACCTGTATTTGTAGCTGTACAGTGGAGCCTATGGCAATACAATCCAAGTATACATCTCAATAACCGAAAATCAACATATTTTCCAGTATAATATATATATGAATATAAATCATGTCATATTTTTATATTTTTTAAAACTTTATTTGTTTGTTTGTTTGTTCCGGGAGCGAAGTTTTGTTCATTTAAAAATATAGGACAACGGAGTTGGTGTACGTGGGTTCGATTCCCACCCTAGGCATTCATTTTTATCGGCTGGTGCAAAGCGGGCAGTTAAGCTTAGTGGCCCCGCACTGGACTCTGTTGTTCCAATGTAAAAAAAAAAAAGGTCTTGCTATCTTTCTTTTTCTTTTCGAAGACCATACAAATAAAACCATGGTATAATTGTGAAAATTATACCATAGATAGCTATGCTATAATTTTCGGTTCTAGAAAACTCGGGTTGCATTCCCATATGTTCCATTGTACAGCTATAGGTTAATGTAATTTTAATGTTTTAAAAATTGTTATCTTTGTAATATTTGTTCTGTTTGTTTTTTCTGAGTGACTCGAGGTAGAATAGTCACCCTCTTAAAATACAGTCATTATTATTATTATTACTAGAACACACCCGCGAAATCGCGGGCATTAAGCGCATAGTTGAAAGTATGTAAACTGTTGTAGGATGAATTTTTGTAAAAGAATTTATGACTGGAGAATTTCAGGAAAAGTTATCAAAAATCATAGGTACTTGTGGAAAGGACGATTTTTTTTTAGCCCTCCCCCTTTTTCCAAAGTCCGTTTTCTATATGTTTTCAGTTAATTTTAAGTATTTTTGCGTTTTTCTGTCAATATGAACATACATATACTATAAATAAAGAGTATTTGCTATTTACTAAAAATTCCAAGTTAGAGAGTCTCTCTATATATATATGACCCATATATCAGTGACCACTGTGGATGGTAAACTTGGAATTGATAGTTAATAGCAAATACACTTTGTTCATAGTATATGTAAGCACGATCATATTAGTATAGTATACTTTTACATGCATGATCATAGTATACAGAAAAACGCGAAATATTTGTCCTGTCCCGAAGTACTTATGAATTACGTGTAATTTTTGACAGTACTCAGAGGCGGATTTAGGGGGGGGGGGCAGGGGGCCCGGGCCACTCCCCCCCTTTTGTGGGAAAAATTTGTTTGATTATATAGGGAATCACAGAAGCATAACTGGAGCGGGCCCCCTCTTAGGCAGTCAGTGGGCCCCCACTTATGAAAATTTCTGGGTCCGCCACTGGTACTAAGTTTTGTCTGTGACTTAAAAGTCCGGAAACAATATCCGGACGCCTTTATTTTCGTTTTTCTCCAAAAATATCCCGCGTAATCGCGGGCATTTAGAGCGTGGTTGAATTGTGAACTGATGTATCCGGATGAATTTTAGAAAAAGATTTAATGACTGGAGAATTTCAGGAAAGCTATCAAAAGACATAGGTACTTGGAGACAATTTATTTTAGCCTTCTCCCTTTTCCAAAGTCCGTTATTTTTTGTTTTCTGTTAATTTCAATTATTTTCGCGTTTCTGTATATTTTATTATGAACATACATAATTGCATGTTTACTATCAATTCCAAGTGTATTATGCACGGCGGTCAGTAATATATTATATAGAGAGTCTGGCAGTATATATTATAGTAGTATGATCATAGTATGCATGCAGATAAACGCGAAAATAATTGTCCTGTCCCCTAGTTCTTATTAAAATTATGTGTAATTAAAACAGTCCTAAACGGAAGTTGTGTCTATAACTTAAAAGTCCATCCGATGACGGAAACAATATCCGGACGCCTTTATTTTCGTTTTTCTCCCAAAATAAGCGAAACTGAATAATCATAAAAATGGATGACAAATGTGACTTTGCATGGTACCTATAGGACACAGAGGCATGATGATTAGTTTGTTGTGAAAGGAAGAGAAGCGACACACAAAATGAGGTCTTCGCGTTTAATAGTATAGATTAGATGGACTCATTTTTCCTGGCAGTTACGGCTCAGGTATGTATATAGGACACAGACAAGGGAATACGAGCCCATATTCCATGCCGTGAAGCCCGAATTACGAGTATATAAATTACTATTCTGGTCTTCGTTTTGTATTCGTCTTTTTCACGTTTGGTCATGGACTCGGTGGCATTGTCTGTCCGCCGATTTTCGCAGGCTTATGATCTTTGATAGTCCAATTTGATATATCTTCTTATATTTCAACAAGGAAAAAAAACGAGACAATGCATACCGGATAAAACGTTAGTGAGAAACACAGTAATCAAATAGTGAATTCGATTTAACCAGTTGAAATAAGTATTTAAACAAATCTTGGAAAAATACGAAACTCAAGACCCCGACTAAAAATTCCTCGTCACAAACGGGTTAATTTTAACAGGTATCAAAGCACTAAGTTGGTAGTAGAGAACAAGATCTCAAAGATCACCTTTTACGGGCAATGAAACAATACAATATAAATCTTATTGAAACCTATTGAACTAATCCTAGCAAGTGTTAAATGATTTGACAATTTAGATAATGCCATGAATAATGTATCTACAACTGCATTAAATTTAAATTAAACACAATATCGTATTACTAGTGAGATAACGGTTATTTCTTCATATACAAAACAGTGTGAAGTTAGCATTTAAATGATAAAATCTAAAACAATAATAATTTGGGGTCTTATAGATACTCTGTTTGGCAAGCAGTTTTCTGACAATAAAGTGTCCATAAGAGGAACGAGTAGAAGTGTGGATTATGGTTTTGATTTTAAACTAAAATATTCACCAACTGAAGTAAATTGCCGTTTACCGCCGTGTACACTGCTTGTGTTGTGTAAGTACCATAAGATACAATTATTTTTATATAAAAAATATTTCAAACATTCGAACTTGGCATTCTGTGTAAAAATACGCATGTCTTAAATCAACAAAATTAATACTGCTGCATTTTTCCGAATTGAATACTCGATTTAAGCAAAAGTCATAATCTTAATGTATTGTTTCTCGACAATTTTTTAAAAAGTTGATTTGATAGAACCAATCTGTCACAAATGTTTTTTTTTGTATCAAGCCGTAGATTTTTTGGTTTGAATTGTTTCACATTGTGCAATGCCGGCGCTTTTATAGATTCACGTGTATAGATTACAATACGGTATGGGTTCTGCTCATTGTTGAAGGCCGCACAATGCCCTATAATGCTTACATCCACGTCCTTTGGTCTCTGGTGGATAGTTGACTCATTGGCAAGCATACCACATCTTCTTTTATCTATATTTAAAGGCACCTGTATCAATATTAAAAACAATACAAACACTTTATCCGAAACTATGCAGAACATTTGTCGTGTAGAAATATCTCTTGAAATATCTAAAATTACCCATACTAACTTTACAAAAAAATATTTCAATAATTTATTTTTCTTCCAGCTTATAACATTGATTAACCACCAATATGGCCATGGACGTATCACAAAGACCTGCAACAGTATCATTTGGAACCGAAGTGATTCTTGGACGACGGAAATCACGTGCCTTCAGCATCAGTCAACAGGACACAAGAGATACAGAAACTTTCAGACGACAATCGTATAAATATCAGTTTCCAAACCCAGCATTAGAAGCTGACAAAAGAGACTTTGACTTGGTAATAATAGTAAACTTGAAATGAAATGTAAAGAACATAACCTGCCTACAAAAAATTAACAGAATCATTTAGAATTTGTTACTGGTTTTATACAAGACAGGGGCGTGAAAATATTCTTGTTTACGGAGTAATAGCAAATTACAAGCGGTAATTAAAATGAAGACATTTACACTTGAAAGATAAACACTATCAAAGAAATAAAATCACCAGCAAATAACTTACTAAAAGAAAACTACAAAACCACACTGATCACTCAGACTAAGGAATTCAAACACATAGAGCAGAATCGACTACAATTTGAAATTAGATAATTTATTTATTTTGTTAGTCACCAGCAGCAAAAAAGACTATTTCGACTCAATGAACATGAAATTGTTTATTTAAACATTTTGCAAAACACCTGTCCTACCTCCTTGGCAAATCTGTTGTTGTCCCCGCCGATAAAGCCCCAAACAACATCGTTTTTGTGTCTATTTCACATTACATAAACTGCTTGATAAATGAACTAGGTATTGACAATTCGCTTGGAAACTCAACATAAAACCCCACGACACTTACCAAGGAGAAAATCCTGGATAATCTTAGGTTTGTTCAATGCTCCTTTGGTCTTTGGAATTTCAACAAAAAGGAAGAACTGGATCTTCCTTCCCTGTATTGGATACCTCAATTATATAAGCGTCCTTACAAACAACGTTATATTGCTGTGTCTTCTAAGGGTTCCACGAAATCTCTTTCTAAATTATGCACATCAATTTTATAAGGAATCAAAGCCGGCTTCAAAGTTTGTGAAACTACCTATTCTAAAGGTGGCGTGAATCAGATTTGGATACTGCGAAAAATCCAAAGATATTTTAGAGTACATACAATCTAAGACTCTTTCATCTTGCAATAGTATTAAAACATTTGACTTTTCTACATGTTACACAAGTATTCCCCATTCCAAACCAAATGACAAATTGAAAGAGTTGGTTCTGCTTTGTTACATAAAAAGAATGGTCAACGTAGACACAAGTATCTTGTCTTAGGGAGGGATAAATCATACTTTGTGAAAAATAATTCTGATTCAAACAAAAAATTCTCTGAAACTGACATTATCAAGATACTTGATTTCTTGATTGGCACCATGTTTGTTACGTTTGGAGGACCTGTTTTTCAACAAACAATCTGCATTCCCATGGATACAAACTGTGCTCCTCTTCTTGCCGACTTGTTCCTTTATTCATACGAGGAGTTTAGGAAGAAAGAAAAGAACTTAGCATTATCCTTACGTATTGCTCAGTCTTTAGTTTTCTATGTTGTGTTTTGTGTACAGTTGTTTGTCTTTTGGTCTTCTTTTTTGCCATGGAGTTGTCTTTTAAATGTCAGTACCAAGTCAGGAATGTGACAGTTGTTTTCCATTCGTTTGATGTGTTTGAGCTTTTGATTTTGCCATTTGATAAGGGACTTTCCGTTTTGAATTTTCCTTGGAGTTCGGTATTTTTGTTATTTTAAATTTAACTTAGTTTGGTGACAATGTTGAATGCATTTGGGGACTTATCATTTTTTACCTGGGAGGGGGTGCTGGTCAAAATGTAGGAGGGGGGGGGGGTTCAAATTTTTTTTATAAATTCAGTGGGGGATCAATTTTATCTCTAATGAAAACTTTTGAATCTACCAAGTATATCCTACATATCATGTGTGTCAAAGGTAAGTGTTATGCATGTTAAAAGTTTGGCATGTTTAATAGAGGGGGATCACATTTTTTTTAATTGTTTTTAAGGGGGATAAAATAAAAATAGTGAAATATTATGGGGGATCAAGAAACATTTAATATGTTTGTTTTCAAAATGACCAGCCCCCTCCCAGGTAAAATATGATAATTCCCTAATATCCTATCGAACTTGAGATAATGGATACAACAGCTACAGTTCAATCTGCCTAATGGCTTGACCTACATCTAGAAATTGACAATGAGGGTAGGTTGAAAACAAAACTTTACGACAAAAGAGATGATTTCAGCTTCCCAATTGTGAGCTTTCCATTTCTATGTAGCAACATTCCTTTAGCGCCTGCATTATATGGAGTATATATCTCCCAGTTGATACGCTATTCAAGGGCTTGTATTTCCTATCATGATTTCCTTAATAGAGGGTTGTTGCTCACAAGGAAGCTATTAAACCAGTTGGTTGACCGTAATGGAGTATCCGTTTCACAGATATATTCCAATTGTCGTAACCACAATCTCGTCCTCTGTTAGCCGAATGTGACCTACCAAATTAGACTTATCACCAGGTTTGTACATACATGAACAACACGACGTATGCTACGTGTGAATCAGGATCTGCTTACCCTTCCAGAGCACATGACATCACCCCCGGATTTTGGTGGGGTTCGTGTTGCTCAGTCTTTCAATTGGAAAGTTGGCATGATTGATTGTTGCTTGTTTAACGTCCATTGACAAATATTTCATGCATTTTCAGGACGAGAACAAATAACAATAATTTAATTGGTGGGAAATTTGGACTGCCACTCACTGGGAAATGGAAGTATGTTGGGAATGGGGCACAAACGTACATCTGAGTTATTGCAACGTGGCACTCACCCTACACGGGTCATCGGATTTAACCATTCTGACCGGACGCCCCATTTCAGCAAGTGTTTAAATACCAGACATGTGAAGTCCGAGGGATTATCATATTTCTTAACCCCCGTCAACCTTCGTGGTGTTGTAGGGGTTGCAGGGTTGCATATAGAAAATATGGTCATTGAATCGGCCACAAATGAGCTTATTATTATCGAATGATGCTGGATGGGTCTTATTCGTGCTAGGAGTATGGCATTTTCCCCCAACACGGGTTTCGTAATTAATACATCCCATCAAACCTCGGAAACCGTTTGCAGAAATGGAAAGGGGTCGTACACATCGGTAGGAGCAATTAGGTCCACTTACTAGAATTACTCTCTAGGGCATACAACTAGAAATTATTCTGTAAAAATTTTAAAAGACAAATATATTTACTGTATATTTTCAGTCAGAAATACAAGAAAGTGATATAAGACGACATGTATTTGGGAAACCAGTGGAGGAAATGGAGTTTGTTGGATCTGACAACACAGTTAGGAGACCAACGGTATCTAGTGCACGCCGATCTGTCCTTTGGTCACGTGATCGACGGCTGTATGAAGACAGACATCGCCAAGATGTAGAGGAATTTAGAGAACAACCGTATATGAGGCATGAATATCCAACATTAAGGAAACACTATCCCGGTACATGGAGACTAGCGTCAAGAGATGAAATCCAAGCCACGACTGATCGGTTGACAAGTGTTCCTGCTCCAACATCAGCAAGCATGAATTTGCACAAATTTCAGTGTTTCCTGCACAATGTATTGGAAGTAGAAGCACAGGCGCGGAATCGTGAGCTAAGGTCATGCCTTCGTAGAAGACCTAAGACATCTGTAATATAAGATCATCCAGCGACATGTATAATATCTGAATTTAAACCTCGAGATTTAAACATATCATTTGCCATCAAATTCACAGTGGTAGTGAAATAATCGTTAATTTAGAAGTGTACTCAAATGTTCAGGTACTAAAATAGTAATAACTATCCACGAAGTACTACAATGTAATATTAAGGTGGACAGTCCTGTTTTTATGTCTTGATAGAAATAAAAATATTGGCAGTTGTTTTACCTGCTACGAATGCAAATGATCAACCGTTGATAGTTTGTTATATAGTTAATCCTCCGGTGCACATCAGTTCACCAAAAGTTTTTGGTTGGATTCGTATTGCTTAATCTATAGTTTTCTGTGTCATATTTTGTAGAACCTTGTTCGTCTTTTCGTCTGTTGGCCAAAGTGTTAAAGTTTTAATTGCTTTGTTAGTATTATGTTCTCTCCTTTTGTCGTGCCTGCTACAGCATAGATTTCGATGTCGTTGGTGGTGTCACTATTTAGTTTCAACCTGTGGTTTAAGTTTTTTAAGACATCAATAACTTGTCAAACTTTATGGAATTTTATGAAATTTGGACGAGACAATATCCACCGCATAAATATGTATTCTCATTTTCCGTTTTTTTTACAATTAACATTTAGATAAGTCAATTACTTTGTCAAACCCTTCATGGAAACTTGACAGAAACTTTTTTTTGATCAACAGACATTTTCCAGAGCAACATAATGAAAATATTATTTTTCCTTCACCGTATTTAACAGTTTAAAGGACTTTGTTTATTGCAGTTAACAAATAGATACAGTATGGGGTTAAAGTGTTTTACACATCAATTTCTTTGCCAAACTTCCAAAGAATTTTATTAAACTTTGGCAGAAGCTTTTTTATGATTAAGAGGCACAGGCACTTGTCTCTGAAAAGAAAATTACCTATATACTTTAATGTGTTATATTCAAGTATATAGGTAGTTTTGTTTTTCAGAGACAAGTGCCTGGCCTGTGTTAGGAAGTACTGTCTGAAACAAATTTTAAAAACGTGTTTTTTTCATTCTCAGTATTTTACTGACAGATGGACTTGGTTTTTTGCAGTGAACATTTAAAGATAGTTTGGAATTTTTTTTTAGACATGATTCAGTTGCCGAAATATAGCGTTGAATTTCAACTTAATTACAAATTATCAAACAGATCACAATTTGGTCCTTAAATGGATCTACATAAAAATGAATTTTAAAAGCCTTAATGCTAAGTAGAACAAGCACAAGTGCACACGCTGAAATGTCTCACCTGCTTTACTAACCATGACGGATTTTATGTCGATAGTCCAAAAGATAAAGTTTTGCTACAAGGATCACATAAACTTATCATTATCAATGATCAATGAAAATGAGGTCAAGGGCAGATGAACAAAGCCAGACAGACGTGTACATCTTGCAATCAATCCACACACCAAATATAGTTGACCTATTCATTACAGTATACAACAAGAGGCTGTCAGAGTGACAGCAAACCGGATTGTCCTGCAGAGGTCAAACCCTGAACAGTTGAGCAAGTATGGACACTTCATTTAAGCTTAAAACTGCTCTGAATTTGGATTGTGGTTGAATATTTGACACAGCATAGGTTTGTGACACAAAATGAATGTGGTCAAAGAACTGAAATATTTGAAATTGGACATTTATTTAATTACCTACTATGGTCCAATATCCAAAATCTAAGTACATTGTCAGAATCAGCATATCAAAGAACTCCAAAAATTCATTTTTCAATGAAAACAAACAAAAGTTTAATTTAGGACCCTTTGGACCACAATATAGACCAATTTGATAAAGGAGCTCACAATCCAAAATCTCTCAATACATGGTAAGATTCAGCATTTCAAGGAACCACATAAATTCAATTTTTGTGAATCAAACAAAGTTTAATTTTGGACCCTGATTTGGACCAACTTGAAAACTGGGCCCAAAAATCTAATTTTAAATACAGGTTTAGATTCAGCATTTGAAAGAACCCTATATATATTTAATTTAAGTTGAAATGAAACACAATTTAATTTTATCCATATATTTTCTGTGCAAAGGGAAATAACTCAAACTTGATAAATAGATATGATTATAATGAATAAAGTGATGACTAAGTTCTATAAAATTAGATTTGATGTAATTTTTCAAATTATAATCAATAGTATGATAACAACAACCAGTGATGACTAAGTTCTCTTAAATTAGATATGATTTGACACTCAAACATTGTTAAAATCAGCATATCAAAGAACCCAAGAATTCAATTGTTGATTAAACAAAAGTTTAATTTAGGACCCTTAATTAGTACCTCGATGTGGTATTATCTAACTAATAATGAAAATAAATACAGGTTTAGATTCAGCATTTCAAAGAACCCTATATATATTCAATTTATGTTGAAATCAAACACAGTTTAATTTTGGACCCTTATTTGGACCAACTTGAAAACTGGGCCCAAAGTCAGAAATCTAAATATATGTTTATTAATAGACAATCTAAGCTAAGTTTTAAAAGGAGTTCACCTAATCCAAAAAATATATATAGCATTCAGAAAATTAGTTTTTACAGAATAACAAACAATTTACAATTTACCAAAGTAAAGAAAAAAAAATCAAAAAATTTATTTATCATTAATACAATGTCTTTTAAAAGTATATAAAACTTATCTGTAATTATCTTCAAAATGTCTAATAATAAACAGTAAATTTCTAATTATATTTACTACTATATAGCTTTTAATCATCAACACTTTTCAAATAAATCTGTCACTCAAGATAAGACATTAACCATATGTTTAGTAAATTGATTACAGGACTTATAAACAGGTGAAAATTATCTATAAAGGCTTAGTGTAATCAAACTAAATGCATATAAATAACAATTTCTGTTCAAAGGAAAATAACTCAATCACAAAAAAGACCCCAGGGGACTCGACTTTTATTTCATTTGATTTATTTTATTGTAATATACAAGAAGAAAAATGGTTTCACGGTGGAGATCTTGACTGTTTACAAGTTTTCAAAATAAAAAGGGTGTGGGGGTTACCCCAGGGGTCTCACGTTTTATTTCATTTGATTTGTTTTATTGTCCCATAAAAGATTATATTAGGGTTTAGGGGTGGGGATCTCAACCGTTTACAAGTTTTCAAAAAGAAGAGGATGGGGTTTACCCTCGTGGACTTCCCTTAAATATCATTTGATTTGTTTAATTGTCCCATACACGAATATATATGGTTTAGGGGTTGGGATCTCAACCGTTTACAATTTCTCAAGCAGAAGGGGGTGGGGGTTACCCAAATAGACTTCCCCTATATTTCATTTGATTTGTTTTATTGTCCCATTCAAGAATATATATGGTTTAGGGGTGGGGATCTAAACCGTTTACAAGTTATCAAAAAGAAGGGGGGTCGGGGGTGACCCCATGGAATGGACTTCCCCTATATTTTATTTGATTTGTTTTATTGCATACAAGAATATATATGGTTTAGGGGTGGGGATCTCAACTGTTTACCAGTTCTAAAACAGGAGGGGGTGGGGGTGACCCCAGGGGACTCACCTTTTATTTTTTTTATTGTCCCATACAAGAATATATATAGTTTCAGGGTGTGGATCTTGACTGTTTACAAGTTTTCAAAAAGAAAGGGGGTGGGGGTGACCCCATGGACTTCCCCTATATTTCATTTGATTTGTGTTATTGTCCCATACAAGAATATATATGGTTTAGGGGTGGGGATCTCGACCGTTTACAAGTTCTTAAACAGGAGGGGGTGGGGGTGACCCCAGGGGACTCACCTTGTATTTCATTTGATTTGTTTTATTGTCCCATACAAGAATATATATGGTTTCAGGGTTAAGATTTTGACCGTTTACAAGTTTTCAAAAAAAGGGGGGTGGGGGTGACCCCAGGGGACTCCCCCTCAATTTCATTTGATTTGTTTTATTGTCCCATTCAAGAATATATATGGTGTAGGTGTGGGGATCTCGACTGTTTACAAGTTATCAAAAAGAAGGGGGTGGGGTGACCCCCATGGACTTCCCCTATATATCATTTGGTTTGTTTTATTGTCCCATTCAAGAATATATATGGTTTAGGGGTGGGGATCTCAACGGTTTACAAGTTCTTAAACAGGATGGGGAAGGGTGACCCAAGGGGACTCACCTTTTATTTCATTTGATTTGTTTCGTTGTCCCATACAACAATATATATGGTTTCGGGGTGGGGATCTTGACCGTTTACAAGTTTTCTAAAAGAAGGGGGGTGGGGTGACCCCCATGGACTTCCCCTATATTTCATTTGATTTGTGTTATTGTCCTGTACAAGAATATATATGGTTTAGGGGTGGGGATCTCGACCGTTTACAAGTTCTCAAACAGGAGGGGGTGGGGTGACCTCAGGGGACTCGCCTTTTATTTCATTTGATTTGTTTTGTTGTCACATAGAAGAATATATATGGTTTCAGGGTTGGGATCTTGACCGTTTTCAAGTTATCCAAAAGAAGGGGATGGTAGTTACCCCAATGGACTTCCCCTATATTTCATTTGATTTGTTTTATTGTCCCATAGAGAACGAAAACCAATTTTGGGACATACAGCATACGTTCTTACAGACAGACAAGTGTAAAACTTAATGCCCCCTCAACTACAGCGGAGGCATAAAAGGGTGGCAAACTGATTTGCCAAACTGAAGGACAAACAGACAGAGAGACAGACAGACAGACACACAGCCTACCAAAAAAGTTTCAAACAATTTACCAATGATATTTCGCCAATAACTCAAATTTATTTCCATGAACCAATAACAAAACACCAAGATAATTCTCTAAAATTAGATATGACTTAACCACTCATAAATCTCTAAAATTAGATATGATTTTATATCTATCAATTAAACACATCACTTTTCAAAACAAATAACTCAAACTTATTTCCATCAACCAGTAAAAAACAAGCAAAATACTTCTCTAAAATCAGATATGATGTTATATCTATTTCCATATTATAATCAAATTTAATTAATAGTTGCTAATATTGTTTCTTTCATGTGTCAAAAAATAATACAGATCTGCAACTTATCTATCAATGTCAAAAACTTTATCTCATAATAAAAATAGATTATTATCTAATTAAAAACAAGTTTAGATTCAGCACTTAAAGAACCCTATATACAGTGGCGTAGCTTGCCTTCTGTTATAACTGAGGCAGGGGGTCTGGGGGCGCAGCCCCCCAGAAGCTGTTGAAGTTTT